TGTGGGGAGAGAGGGAAGCCTGGATGGGGGAGGGGAGACAGGGCCACTGGAGAGGGGCATGGAATGTGGGGGCAAGAGGGAGACTGGGTACAGGACCAGAGAGGGACCCCCACTGACCTATGCAGGCTCCAGCCCTCAGGTTACAGGGTCCCCATCCCAGCAACCACAAGTCCATCACAGTGATCACAGCGGTTATGTCCCAGGCACCATGTGTCTGAAGGGCCATCATGTCCGTCCTCTCACTCGATTCTCACTAAATGTTGGCCGCTTACAGGAGGGCTGCTCGGAGGAGGAAGGGGAGTGGCTGGGCGTCCACCGGTCCTGCTAGGTGCTGGGGAGATTGGTGGGGGGACCCTGTACATACTTCGTGTGTGTCTGCCACTTGAGTACTTCAAAAAGGAAAGGGAGAACTGCAATGCTTGTAACTAAAATTGTGATGTTTCACTCTTCCTTGCAATTTTGAAAGTTACAATTTTCTGTTTGTACACATTTTCCAGTGGAAAAGCAGAGGTTTCCTTCAAATATGGATTAAATATTTCATGGGCTTTTAGAAGCCTAGACCACTTATGTGAAGCACCCACTCTTTTTGTAACGGCTCAGCTTTTACGGAACCCACAGGAGCCGTAAGAATTGCGTGGCGCCCCTTTACGAATGTCACCCTGTGCCCGCTGAGTGACTCTCACTCCCATGTTGCTTTGGTCCCAAGTCCTGATACTATAGGAGATGTGGGCTGGGCTGGCTGAGCAAGCCTCACAAACACTTTGTGGGTCCCGGTGGCTGCCGGGAAGCGTGACCCCAGCCCTCTGCATCAGCTCCTGGGGCTCCGCCCTGGGAGGCCGGCTGGGAAGAGCCGGGGCACGGGGCAGGGGCACAGGGCTCTGCGTGTGCCCTTAGACCAGGCCCCAGCCTCAGTTTCCCCATCTGTGTCATGGCTGTGACGCAACCGCATAGGATCTTGTCAGGACCCGGAGAAGGATGGGAGGAGGGCTGTAAGGTGCCCCACCTGTCCGGGGGCTGCAGAATGGAGGGTGGAAAACGTCTCATGCACTGAGGGTCTCATGAAACATCCCGCCTGTGGCACTGTGACAAGCGGAGCATGTCACAAGCCCTCCCCGCCGAAGCCATCCTTTGAGGCCTTGGCGTTCAGCCTGATGCCTTTTCATCCCCTGGGTGACAATGGATCAACTCATTTGTTGGGTGGCCAGCGTCCCCCGACACCCACTGTGGGCGAGTGGTGGGGGACAGTGCACAGGCCTCCTGGCCCTGCCCCCCGGGAGGCTCGGGAGCCCCCCCGCTAGTCCCAGGACAGAACCAGCATCAGAATTACTCAGAGATAAGGGGGCCGGTGCCCTGCACTTAACGCAGTGGGGCTCAGTGGCCCAGAGAGGAGCCCAGGGTCTGCTGCCAGTTAGTGGCGGCTGAACACCTCTGGGCTCTGCCCTTTCCTGCTGGCCTTGTTGTCCAGCCTGTGCCAACCCCTCCTGCTCCGACCACACTAGCGTTATAATCAGTTTTACTAGGCTTTTTCAAAATTTCCTTGGAAAATCTCAAACATCTATACTTCCCCGTAAACTTTGCAATCAGCTTGTCCAGTTTCCCTCCAAACATACCACAAACAAATAGATAAAACCAAACTAAGAAAGCGAACCAACAACCAGCAAACAAGCAGCAAACTGGGAACATAAACAGAGGTCCATTCAGACGCTGACCAAAGGGCCCTCACTGCCCCAACCACACCCTCTCGCCAGTGAGACTAGACGTAGTGACAAACAGAGGCACAAACGTAATTATTCTCTAAAAAAAACAAAAACAAAACCACCTTGAATTAAAGGAGTAAAATGAAAACTTCTAGAAAATGGGTAAAAAGGAAAAGACTTCATATCAAAACCCCACGGGACACAGCAAACCACAGCTAGGGGAAACGCAGCAGCGCTGAGTGCTCTTCCAAACACACGTACACCGCTTACTCAGTTTAAGAAATCAGAAACAGTACAACGAAAAGATGATGTGAATAAAGATAAAAGCTGAAATGAATAAACTAGACAAACATGGGAGACGAGATACAAGTATAATCTTTGAAAAGACCTACCAGAGGGAGCACTGCAGGTAGGTGGGGAGAAACAGACTAACTGCAGATTAAGCGCAAGTATAGCGACGGTGCAAGTACAGCGACGACAAATGCGTGTGCACTTAAAAACAGAAGGTGGGCGGCTCCCACACGACAGAAGCTGAGCCCGGGAGGGATGGAACGCCGCAACCGACCCGCGGCAGAAAACCCGGGGAGGGAGCTGAAGCGCATGTGAGATGACAGGAGGGGCAGTGTGTGCAGGCCTTTCGGAAAGCTCAACTCTTAGGCTACTTAGATTACGCCACATGACAGAAAAAGATGGAAAGCTCACCAGTGTATTTTATAAATTAGATAAAATAATCCTAACACTGAAAAAGCTGATAAATGTGGCACCCTGAAGAAACACCAACGCAGGCGTTAGTAATCACCTCCGCCACAATGTGGGCCCCGCTGATTGGCACAGCCCGAGCTGCCTGGCTCCCGAGCCCAGGCTGCGCTTCTAGAACCTGAAACAAGCTCAGCCCGGGCCTGGAGGAGCGTTCTCAGGAGAAGAGGGGGCTGGTGGTGGGAACGTGGGAGCCGGTGGGGCTGGATGTGGTTCGTTTGGGTGCCAGGCGGATACTGAGCCCCTGAGCCAGCGGGGCTGTGACCTGGCTCTGATCTGAGGGGAGCACGGGGCAGCCTCTCCCAGGGGCACGTGTGGGTGACGCTGGGCTCACTCTACATTGTTGATCTATTGAATTCCCAGGGTAACCCGGGAAACGGGAGGGATTTGCTCTCAAACAAGAATCTTACTGTTTGCATAGCACAGCCTACCATTTAATTAGAAAAATATGTTTTTAATTAACTTTCTCTTGACAAACATGTTGGCTTATGTGAAACTGGGGAAAAATCCAGTCCGTGAAAGTGAAAGAGGTTGTGTAAAACACAGACCTTGCTCTCACAGAGCTGGCGGCTCTGCAGCCTGACCTGGCCAGGGGGTGTGGCCACGTGTCCTGGGCCCCTGGCGGCTGCAAACAGGGCAAACGCTTCTGTCGCCAGGGTTTGCTGTTTGTCAAAGTGCCTGGGGCTTCTGGTGACTCAGGCGTGTCTCATCCCCTTTCAGATGCCCACCGTGATGGCCAACAGGTTACAAAAATTGGCAAAACTTTCCTCAGAGCTGGAGGCCAGGACTTTGAGGGTTCCCATAAGACAGAGGGTAGACAGAACCAAGTCGCCTAAGAAGAGGAGAAATGGTAACTGCCAGAATTCTAAGAAAAAATTTGACAGAATACTAATAGATTTTAGTACACACACTTCACTGGAAAATTGAGTAAATTCTTGATCAAGCAGAAAAATCAACATGGGTAGAGAAGATCAGAAAACCCAAGAAACCACAGCACCCATACGAGTAGAGCCCAAGTGGAACCTGCAGTCCCTCAGGGACCCTGGCTCAGCGGGCCAGGGCTGGAGGGGCTGCCGGACATGGAGGGAAGGCATCCAGGGATGAGGGTCATGGTGGGGGAGACACAAGAGGGCCCCCGGTCCCCTGGCAGGCAGGTGGCCAGAGGTGGAAGCTGGACACCACCGCGGCTGAGCCCCCAGGACAGGGCCCTTACCCCCACCTCCCCATTCCTGGGACAGAACAGCTCTAGTGAGAGCTCAGGGTGGCTTCTCTTCAGCCCCCACAGCCCCCCATGGCCCCGCTTGGAACCTTTCATTTGGGCCTGAAATATCTGGACAGGAACACGTGAAATCCCCAGTGAGTTCTTCACTCCCAATACTGAGCAAGACTAGTCCCCCTTCTTTGAAGACGTGCAGAGGAAAACATCATGATGTATGTAGCAGATGTGGTTCCAGAAACAAAGTCAATCTGAGGGTCTCAAATTCAAACGAGAACAGTTATTGCAAGAAACGGAAATACGTGTCAGAAAATGTTAATTGATGTTCTCACAGTGAAACCAGGGTCGGGGCCAGAGAGCAAACAGTGAGATCAAAACACAAGCACCAACCCAGGACGGCAGACAGGTCAGCTACGCAGGACGAAGACCCCAAGCTCTCCCAGGACCTGGAGGAGATGCCACCGGGAAGAAGGTGAAGTTCAAGGTCAGCAAGGAGACATGAGCACAGAGAGCGGTGTTGGGCTGCTGTGAACTTCAGGACCAATGAACAGGGAAGCATGGGGAGGACAGAGATGTTTTTAAGTGGAAAGAACTTGTATAAATTGAGATCGATTGGACTCTGTGCAGAGAGGGCTCACCACACACAAGCACAGACAGCCGAGGAACAACTCAAGTCCCTGTTTTGGTGATGTTTTTGAATTTCAAAGATAAATGGGCCTTCTGGCTCCCGCCCTGTAAGAGCACTTCAAACAGGCGACAGCCTCACATTTCTGAGGTCAGAGGGCAAACAACTACCCGGGTCTGCGGAAAGACGAGCCCCTCCGAGAGATGGGATGAGAGCCTGACTCACCTGTGCCGCCTGTGAGCTCGAAGACTTCAGCTGCCATGTTCAACAAGTGACTGAAACCAGGTGTGGCTGGCAGAGTTCAAGATGGCCCGTGGCCTCTGAACCGTGACGTCATCCTGTGATCACGTCAGATTAAGCGGAATGGATTTGCAGATGTAATTAAGGCCAGTGATCAGCTGGCTCTGAGTTAACCATCGGGGCGAGAGGCTACCCAGGTGGGCCTAATATTCTCATGAGCTCTGAGCGCACAGGCAGGTGAGTGAGGGTCCTGCCGCCACTGAGTGGTGGGAGCCCATGAGAAGGCCCATGCTGGACACTGGAAGAAGCCTCTAGAAGCTGCTTGGTCCATCCTCAGCCAACAGCTGGGAAACAGGACCTTGGTCCCACAACTGCAGGGAGCTGAGTCCCGCCACACCGTGAGTGAGCCCGCAAGGGGATTCTTCCCAGCCTCAGGTGAGGACTGGCCAAGCCCACCCATAGGTGAGACCTGGGAGAGAACCGGGCCGCCTCGCTGGACTTCTGGCGGGCAGGACTGAGAGCTCACAAATGGGGTTCTGTGGTCACCTGCCATTGAGCAGGAGTGTGCCACAGGTGGGCTGCTGTGGGTCTGCAGACACGAGGGTCGTCAGACTCGGGGGCAGGCTCTGTGGATCCCACCCGGCACTTAGCAGAAAGACAGGGACGGGCGTATCTGGAGGTAGGGAGGCCCCTGGGCACGGAAGGTCTCCTTAAGCCCCCAGGGCACAGATGCAGGCCCCTGCAGCTGGGGGTGGCCAGGGGCTCAGGAAGGGGTTCCTAGCCCAGCCATCAGCGGTCTCTGAGCACAGCATGACACGGCTGTCACATCTACCACTGTAACACTCCCCTATCCCCAAGAGGTACCAAGACATGGGGGGGTGGGCAGAAGGGATGGCATCAGGAAACGGGCACTAGAGGAAAGGAGAGAGCAAATAACCTACACTAAAGGGCAAAACGGGTTGTGAGGAAGCATTAAAAGCAGCGGGTATCCTGTCAGAGCACACGCATCATCTCAAAGCTTGTAAGTGGGGTGAATTCCCCTGGAAAAGGCAACAACTCTGAGGCTGGCGGCAGGTGGGTGATGTGGAAACGGAGAGGGCAGAAGCGCTGGCTGGCCAGGGGTGGGCACTGCCACATCGGGTGAAGCGGGGCTCAGGACAGACAGTGCTTACAGCACGGCGGCCTCTGGACCTGGAAAAGCTAGAGCAACCGAGAAACTGAATTCTGAAAAGCACGTCACAGAAATCTGTAAGTCAAAGAACTTTAGGAATAAAGGACACATTGCCAAGAAAATCGCAGTGGGCAAATTCAGCTCAAATTCCCCTCTGAGCTTTGATAAAGTCAGGGGAAACGTTTGAATAACGTATTTGTAAAGGTTAACTTAATAGGCGTGCTTCCAAATGTGTAACCTGCAAACAGAAAACTTTATTTTCAAACGTACATAGAATGCATCCATGAGAACACATGTATAAATTGGGACACAGCCCCGCCTGGCCTCCCCTGGTCTCTCAGACCCCCAACCCAGCCCGGCACCTGGGCCTTGCGACTGACCCCAACCCCAGCTTCCCTGGCTGCTTCGGTCAGATTTCTTGAAACGGAAATCACAGGTCATCTCACAAACCTTTTCTAGGCTGAGCTCTGAGCTTTCTCTGCGGCCCTGCCTCTGTCCTGCCCTCCCCTGCAGGGCCATTTCTCTCTTTGGTGGCTTATCTGGGGTTCCCTCCTCACAAGACACCTGGAGGGGGTGAGTTGCATGTAGCTCGTGGCACTTGTGGGACTGAGAGCCCGCGTCCTGCCCTGTTCTGCTCAGTCCCCTCGGCTGCCCCCATTAGCTGCATCCTTCCAGCACAGGCCCGGCGCCCCTGGCTCCCCGACACCTGGGGGTGGCCACCTCTGAAGGAACGGCGCCCCTCCATGCCCCCGAGGTCCTCAAAGCGTCGGCTTTCGCTTGTGGGCCTGGGATGGGGCACAGGGCCCCCCCGTGAGCAGTGAGGGGGAGGCCTGGGCCAGACCCCATCCTCCAGGCCTGGCCTCCCCTCTCTGGGCCTGGATTCCCCCCCTGAAACCTGTGGGCCCTGAGGCCACCTTCACAGCGTGGAGCCCATATGTGTTGACATTTATCTGAGTTCATCCTGTGTAACCTGCTGTGTGTGAGTGACATGCGACAAAAAATAGTTCCACAACAGCATAGGTGTGACACCACAGAGAATTCCAAGGCTAGGCCAGTGTCACCCGATGCCTGCCGGTGTGACTACAGAAAGGACAGACCTGCGAGGCCAGGGGTCTGCGCCTGGTTCTGCCCCTTGCTGGCCCTGCCACCCATGCCAAGTCACTCTCTGGCCAGATTCAGTTTCCTCAATCTGTAAAATAAGCTGAGACCATCTCAGAGACAGCGGTGCCAGGACAGCCCTGGTGAGCTCTGTGGGGACCCAGTGTCCCTCGAGGCCATCTGCTCCAGCCCAGTTGGGTCTCTGCCCGCAGGGACCTGAAACCTGCCCTCCTGCCTCCCTGCCCTGGGCTGTCCCGGGTCCCCACCCCGCTGCATGCCCCACCTGGAGCCGCCGCTTCTCCTGGGCCGCTGCCCGCACACTCGCCAGGTGCTCGGCCCCCAGCCTCCGGAGCGCCTCCTCCTGCAGGGCCTGCACTGCCTGGGCGCTGCCCGCCTGCCTCTCTGCCTGGCGCCGGCCTGTGGGACAAGCAAGGTGGCTTGCCTGGCTCCCAAGGTCTAGGGGCTGCCATACGGGGCAGGGGATGGTGGGCGGGGGTGGGGTGGGGGTGTCATCCCCGCCCATCTCACAGGCCAGGAAACTGAGGCCCAGGAGTCTACGTGACTGTTACCTAGATGATGGGGGTGCAGAGGCTCCTCCCCTCAGAGCTCAAGGTCCCCGGGGGGCGTCAGGGGTCCCAGTCCTCTGCCTGGACTCCAGGTCCCGCCCCCTCCCTTTCTGCCTTCTTTCCTTCCAGATAGTCAGGCCCTGGGCTCGTCCCGAGCGCCTGGCTAATGGGGGAATAGGGGACAGAAATGCAGTGGGGGTGGCCAGCCAGGCTGGTGGCCTCTCTGAGGTGACAGGGGGCAGAGATTTGATGTGTGGATGGGTTCTGTGACTGTCCGGGGAAGAGGGTTCCAGCGGGGTGGGTGGGGGGCACAGCCAGTGCAAAGGCCCAGGGTGTGAACAGCAGGAGGCTCGTGTGGCGGGAGGGGCTGGGGTCCCATCGGTGGCGCCTCTCAGGTCTCTGGACTTGACTCCCTTGTGATGGGGACACGTTGTTGGGAAGCCCTCGCCGCCACCCAGCCCACAAGGGCTGCTGGTTTGGGTGTTCCCCTGTGGCCCAGGCCTGAGCAGTTCCCAGGACTGCACACTGGCCGTCAGGAGCTGGTGCTCTGGGCCCCCCCCCCGGGGGACGTGGCGGAGCCCAGGTAGGGGAGGGGCGTCACCTTCCTCCGCCTGGGCCAGTGCCCTCTGCAGCTGCCCCTCACGGCTCTGGGACCTGGCGAGCTCGCGCTCGGCCTCGCTTAGCCGGCGGCTCAGGCTTGCCACTTGGAAGCTCCAGTTGTCCTGGGCGGAAGGACCAAGGTCAGCAGGCAGCCCCGGGGTGCGTGGAGGGCCGAGGGGTCCAGCTAGAGACTTTGGGGGTCTGGTGGGGCAGCCTGCGGACACTCAGGAAAGGGCAGTGGGGCAGCCGAGCTGACCTATAGGCGCTGAGGAGGGCGTGGAGGGACTGGGTCCGAGCACCCAGGTTTGGGGTGTAAACATAGATTGGGGGAGTAGGGCCTCACTGGCCCATAGCCTTTGGGGTCAGGGTGACCTGCAGGGACTGTCCCCTGGCCGGACCTGGGGCTGAGTGGCGTTGGGCCCTAACCTACCCGCTGGGGCTGGCTTTGGCCGGAGGGTGAGCTTGAGATGAACAGTGTCCGTGGAGGACCCCAGGCCAGGGCTGGGTGACCGTCAGTCTTTCCTCATAGCCCCTCCCACATGCCATGTGGGGAGGGGACACCTGGCCACGGGTGGGCAGCTCCGGGGGAGCCCTGGGGTGGCAGGCTGGGGAGCTCTGTCCCTGTGTGCGTGGTCACTGTGGACACTGCAGATGACATGGCCAGCCCCTGGGGACAGTTCCCAGGGGACAGGCATGGGATCGTGAAGACCCTGCCCTGGGCCCAGTGGGCGTCACAGCAGGGCCTGGCTCCAGGGTCTCTGCCGCTCGGTCTGCAGAAAGGGAGCTGCCCAGGGCCACTTGGGGCCGTCGGGTTCTAAAGGACTGTGGTATGCACCACACCTGACCGGATGGTGTGGGCACTGAGGCCCGGGACTTGCAGGGCCCTGCCAGGGCGGACAGGTGGGCGGCACGCTGAGAGAGCGGCTCCTCCCCGCCTTACCCGGCCCTGCTCGGCATCCTGCAGCTTCTGCACCAAGTCCCTCAGGGCATTCCGCACTGAGGCCACGTCCACCTCTGGGCCGCGGTGTCCGGGTGCAGGTGAGGGCCATCGAAGCGGCGAGTGGGACCCGGCAGGGGGGCTGGCACTCAGCCACCCAGAGTGACCCGGGGAGCCATCCAAGCCTGCAGGACAGTGATGGCTGATGGGACGTGGTGAGGACTCTGCAACACATGCAGACACCCTGTCCCCCCTTTTCTCTGCCACCCCAACTCACAGGGAGCTTGAGGGGGGGGCACAGGGTCCAGGCCCCTCATTGTGTGGACTGTGAGGCCCAGGGAGGGGTGGAGTGCCCCACGTGGGTGGCAGAGCTGGGACAGAAGCCCACCTGAAGCCACAGAGGACACTGACCTTTGGTGGGGGAGCCAGGCTGCTCAGGGGATGCAGAGGGGCCCCGTTCTGGGAGCCCCAGCCCACAGTGGAGCGTGTACCAGAGCCGGCACAGCTGGCCCTCTGCACCCTGCCTGGCCCCCTCGGCCCGGGCCAGCTCCTGCTCTAGGCTGTGGACCCGGTGACAGGCCTCATCCAAGCGAGCCTGGAGGCCGTCAGCCACGCCACTGGCCTGCTGCAGCTTCCTGGTGGCAGCGCGCAGCTCGGCGCGGAGGGTCCGCTCAGCCCTCCGGCACTCGTGGAGGCGTTCCTCCAGACGCTTCTCCCGGGCCTCGCCTCCAGCCTCCACCGCGGCCAGCTTCTGCCGCAGCCTCAGGACCTGTGTGAGGCCGTGGGGGCTCAGACGGAGGCCCTCGTCCCAGACTCCCCTGCCTCTGAGGACTTGCCTCAGCCCCTCCTTGGCTGTCACAGCTGGGGGGACATAGGGCCTGCCTCCCGGCCCGTGTTTGGGAGTGGGGACACCTGAGCCCAGGTGGGGAAGGGCACCCCACGACCAGGGAGCATGTCCTGGCAGACAGAGAGAGCCCACTGGCAGGCTCATGAAAGGCCTGGCTAGATGGGGCCATGGCCACAGGCTGCCCACTCCTGCGGCCGGCCGGCCCCACGCTTGTCTGCCCCACGCATGGCCTGTGGTAACTGAGGCTGGGTCAGCGCCATCCAGTGACAGGGGCAGGGGACCCTCAGCGTGCCTGACACCCTCCACAGGCTTCCAGGCGGGTAACCCCGCAGGTAAGTGGAGTGTTGTCACCACCCACGCTGCAGCCCTTCCCCAGCACACAGCACATGTGGGCTGAGGCGGGCCAGCGAGGCGCGGGGTGCCGTTCTCCCGCCGCCCTTGGCCGGGGCCACCTGTGCTCCCTTCTCCTTCGTTGTAGCCCCTTGGCAGCCGCCTGTCCCCAGGGATCCTCTGCTGGGCCGCCCTCCCCTCCCTTCTCTCGCAGCTCAGCCCAGGTGCAGGGGGCCCTCCCTGACCCAGTTGCCCCTCTGCTGCTGGCCGTCCCATCACTCCCAGTTAGGCCACCCTGCCTGCTGCTGCAGACCCCGGTCGCGGCCCGACATGTGCCTTCTGGCCCTCCACTCACAAGAGGTACCCTCTAAATACTTGTGAGTGAATGGGGAAGTGCGCAGCCTGGGGGAGCAGGCGGCCAGGCCCCCGCCCCAGGCTGGGTAAGCCCCTGCCAGACTGTAAGCCCCAGGGTACCAGGCCTGGCACAGGGCAGGCCGGCCTCATGTCATCTCCCTCCCTGGGTGGCCGCAGTATAAGGACCCCATTCACAGATGGAGGTGAGGGCTGTGAGGTCACCCAGGGGTCTCTTGGGCTGTGGGAGGTGAACCCATGTTTTCTGGGCATGGCGGGTGCTTGATACAGCCACTCTGTGCATGACTTTGGGTCTGAACCAGGGGGCCCCACACAGGCTAAGGCCAGGGAGGCCTTCTCGGGCTGTGTATGGCGGAGGGGGGGGTCGGAGGCCACCGGGCCACGTGCAGCACAGCCCTGCAGCAGACAGAGCCCGAGGGGCGGGCCTGGGCTGAACAGAGGGCCTTTCAAACTAGCTTGGGGGCTGTGAGCGCAGGTGTGGGGGAGGTGGGTGCACGTGTGCCGTAGGCGTGGGGACCCGCGAGAGCAGGCGTGGCATAGGCGTGAGCAGAGTCCTGAGGCTCTTGGAGAATTGGTCATTTTGCCCGTCCCCCCCACCCCCAGCCTGTCCGCAGGCTCAAAACTCTTCACCTGGGTGAGACTGTGTCTTTTACTGAAACACGAGCACCCTGGAAAGCGCAGGGGAGGGTTGTCCCTTCAGCTGGATGAGTTCGGCCAGAGTCCCTCTCCCTTACCCGGCTGCACATGTTGGGAAGTGGGAGAGTGGACAGGCCCACAGCACGCGCGGGCGAGGGCCAAGCCTGGCCTTCCGCCTGCCCCTCCAGGGCCCCTCGGCCCCCTACCTCCTCCTGGGCGGCCTCCCCGGCGGCCTGTGCGTCAGCCACCTGCCTCTGCAGCTCCAGGGCCTCCTGTTGGCTCCGCTGTGCGGCCTGGGAGCTCCGGGCCTGCAGTTGGCCCAGCTCCCGGCTTTTCCTCTGGTTCTCGGCCTCCAGCACCTTGACCTGGGAGTGTGGGGGTGGCACTGTGGGGTCGCCCAGGCCTCTGTGCTGGGGGGTGGGGGGACTGCCTCCCCTGCCTCTGCTCACGCATCCTGGGAGGATGCCTCCCTTCCAGGTGGCTCTGGCCAAGTCCAGCTCTGGACCGGGGTCCATGATGCCCTCAGAGCTTCACCCTCAGCCGCTCCACACACAGGACACTGGAGCTCAGACCAACACCAGCTGGGTGCCCCTGGGTCAGAGCAGGGCCGGGGATGGGTGGCCCTGATTGGGAAGTGCGGGCTCTGGGCTCGGGGACCTGGTCCTACCACTTGGCCTCTGTGGCCCCGGTGTCCTCATGTGGAAAGGAAGGCCTAGAACCTTCCTCACAGGAGAGTCATGAGATTAAACGACCCTGGTAGAAGGAGCACATCAGACATGCCCCCCCCCCCCGCCCCAAACAGCTTGTCTGAAGAACTTTGACAAAAGTGGCTCCAAAGGCTGCGACAGGCCTCTCTCCTGCCGGCGGGAGGCCCAGTGAATTCAGGCAGGTGTAGGCCGAGACGTGGGGGGCCCACAGGAAGCAGCGCCCACCTGTTCACCCTGATCCCCGAGGTGGCCACGCCAGGAGGAAGCCCAGGCCACTCAGGGACGCAGGTGGTGCCCCAGCTGACAGTCAGCATCAGCCGCCGGACCTATGACCCCGGGTCTCTGGACAAGCCCGGCCCCACCACTGACCCCGCAGTGGAGTCTTCTGGGAGCGTGTGTTGTGGGGCAGAGCCAAGCTGCCCTCTGTGCCCGGGCCGGACTCCTGAGCCTCATGGTTTCTGACCCTCAGAATGGTGATTTTAAGGCATGAGGTTCAAGGCTTGCCATTGGTCTCCCACAGGCAGACCCAGCCAGGAACCCCGCGAGTCTGAGCAGGGCCCTTCTGCTGGGGGCGCCAAAGGCATAGGCAGCATAAGGTCAGCAGTGGGGGGAGCTCTGCAGCCCTGGGGTGCCCTTGGAGGGGCTGGCGGAGCTGGGGCCCAGGGGGGTGGTGGACGTCTCCATGGAGGGGCGGGCTCACCTGTCCGCTGAGCTCCTGGAGCTCACGGCGGGAGTCCTCCCGGGCTCGCTCCGCCTCCTGCAGGCTGGCCAGCAGCTCGCTGGCCTCCTTCCGGGCTGCTGCTCGGGCCCCCTCCAGGACCAGCAGCGTCTGCTCCTTCTCTTCCTTGGACCGCTGAAACCTGAGCAGAGGCCACAGGCTGCGGCTCTGGCATCTCCCATGGTTACTGTGCAGGCCACCGAGCAAGCCGCCACCTCACTCTAGCAAGTTCCTCCCTGCAGTGTCCCAAAGCCCAGCCTCCCTGGGGTCTGAGTGCCCAGCTGACCTGGCCTCTCTCTGTCTCCAGCCCTTCTCACCACCACTCCCCTCCCTTTCCTCCAGTCACACTCCCAGAACCAGTGTCCAGCACCAGCCTGGCACCTCTGCTGTCCCCCTGCAAGGGCTGCAGTCCTGGCTTGACTGTTCCTCCCACAGAGGCGCCTCCTGGAGCCCCTGACCAGGCCCCTCGGCCTCCCTCTGCTCTCTAGCCCTTGGCCATGTCCTGCTGGCCTCTTGGGGCTGTCTTGCCTGCTGGATGGGAACTCCCTGAGGGTAGGGACAGGTCGGTGTCTACTTCCCCTCATGGCCGACAATGGGGACCCTTTGGATGGGCAGCCGGCACCCTGAGTCTGCTCGGTGTAGTCACCCCACCATCATCTGGCCCAGCTCAGTAGGACACCCCTGTTCCACCCGCTTTGCCCTGGGTCCTCCCCACATCCTGGGGGGAGCTTTGGGGCCAGGAGGTCTCCCCGACAGCCACTCCATACCTGGCCTTCTCCTGTTCGGCCCTACAGACAGCGGCCTGCAGCTCCGCGTTGGAACGCTGCAGCACGTCCTTCTCATGGGCCTCGCTGCCCAGCGCCCAGCCGGCCTCCAGGGCCTCCCTGCGCAGCGTGGCCAGCCCGTCCTGGGCCTCGTCCAGCTGTGCCCGCAGCCTCTCAGCCTGGGGGAGGGGCGTGCAGCTCTAGGGGCCAGCTGGGGGCCACGGGTGGCTGTCAAGGGCCAGTCCCAGAGCCCAGGCAGGTGGACCCCAGGGACGCTGGCTGCTAGTTGGCTGGGCTTGCGTGGGACATGGTTCTGCCACACGTCTGCCCTGTCCCCACCCAGGTCCAGTAGCCACTCGCTGCCTGATGGCCCTCGCCACCTATGCCCACTCCTTTCCTTCAATAATGGAGTGGCACCCAGTGTCACTGTCTGCCCTAAAGTGGGCACCAGCGCCCGTGGCCCCAGCTGCTGACCCCTACACAGTAGCGGGCCTTGTGTCCCTACTGGGACCGGAGGCAGTGGGGAGGGCAGGCCTCTGGCTGGCCCTGGAATCCTCCAGCAGCACCAGGGCTCCCATGGGCCAGAGGTTCTCGCTGTCACACGTGTGCTGCGTGGAGCGCTCCACAGAAGCGTGGGCCTCCGAAGCCCGAGGGGTCTGGCAGCGGAGGCCCAGGTAGGAAGGCTCTGGGGCACATGGAGCTCCGTGCTCACGTCCCGCCCACGTCTCTGCGAGCTGACCCAGCTGACCCCGGGAGGGGAGCAGCTGCAGGTAAGTCCTCATGGCCCCCAGACCTGCACTGGAGCCTGGACCCATGTCCTCCGCTCCCCTAGGGCCCTACACGGGGGCTTCCGGCTGCTGATGCCATGCTGTGTGAGGCAGAGGTGAGCCCTGGCTGAAATGGGGGTCAGGGTCACAGGTGCCTCAAGGCCCCTGAGGGGAGTAGGGAGCGTCTGGAGGACAGTGCAGACCCGGGAAGGGGCAGCCCAGCCCTCGGAGCCCAGGCTATGGGAGGGGGTCGCTGGGGCTCTGCCAGGACCCTGGTCTCCCGCCTCCCGCACGGCCGTGGCCCTGACAGGGCACTCTGGAGAAGGCTCTATTCCAGCTCGCGTGTCCCTGAGGAGGAGGCAGTGGGACTCTGCCAGGGAGAGGGAGTCACAGGGACTCTGAGCTGTGGCAAGGCGCCGGGCTGCCAAGCACAAACCCCACTTTGCTGGCGGCTTCAGTGGGATATTGTCCAGGCCCCTGGCCGGCCTGGCTCCCGCTTCCGTCCGCTGTTATTGTTGTTCTGTTTTTGGGAAGGGCCCTCGCCCCCCTCCGCTCCCCTCCCACCCCCCACATGTGGGAGCCACAAGCGAGCAGAACATTTTCCGCTGAGCTCAGCAGAAATCCACCCAGAGGGTCAAGGACCAGCGAAAGGGCCTATCTATCATAAAAGAAACTGTTTTCATTTCCCAGGACGAGGAGATGAAAACAAGCAAAACAAATGCAGCAGGGCCCCTCCCCCACGCCCCCACCCACCTCCTGAGAACAACCATCCCTTTTACAGGAATTTTACAGCCAAATCGCTTAATGTGATTATAATAATTATTTCTTTACTAGAAATTGTATAAACAGCCTCTTTTGAAATCTCCTGCAGGGAGGCGGCTGAGAGCTCTGCAGGGAGGAGGGCGGGTGGGGAGAAGAGGGGGAGTGTTGAGGGGCCACGGCCCGTTTGTGGCATGCTCGTATGCACGCAGCATTGTGAGAGTGTGGCGTGTGCATATGCACATGTGTGTGTGTGAACATATGTGCCATGGTGTGTTAAGTGTGCGAGTATGTGTGGAGTTGCACGTGTTGCCTGCTGCACACGTATGCACTTCGTGGTGTCCATGTGTTTACATGCATGTGTGTGTGTGCACGTGTGCACTATCATGTGTGTGCATGGGGTGTGTGGTCTCCATGTGTGCAGATATACATGTGCATGTGTGTGTGGGCTGTGCAGTGGGTTCACGTGTGTGTGCGTGCACGCACACATGTGTGGATCTCAGCAGGGCTGCAAGAGGCCTGGACGTTCCTCCAGTGTAAAGGCCGTGAAAATGTTATGGTTTCCATGGCGACTCTGGCCAGCCTGGCGCCTGGGAGGGCTCTTCCGTGCTTTTCTGTGATTGTTCCTCGTGCCCACTCACCCCTCGGGCTCCCCAGCCCCCACTCCCTTTCTGGGGGCCCCTCTCCCTTTTGGGGGGGCCTTCTCCGAGAACCTGCACTGCTACTGAGACCCACGCTTTCTCCCTTCACGCACCAGAACGAACGTGCCCCCGTCCCCTGCTGCTCCGTTTTAAAATCTCATTCTGCTCCCCCGTGTGGTCGCTGACCGGGCCTGACTTTGAAATCTGTTGAAAGGAGACCTTTCTCTTTGGGGCCAAAGTAAACAGGCTGTCATGTTAAATCATGCTCTCTTCCTCTCCTCCAACGGCCTGCCTGGGGGTGCGGGGGAGGGGAGCCCCTTGCCTCACTCCGCTGCTGCTGGGGGGCCCTGGTGCGTGCACGAGCGTGGGGTCAGCGCCCGCCGGCCAGCCTTGGCACGCTGCCCAGGGTGCAGGAGGCTGCCTTGCCCCTGCGGGCCCCACCCGGGCTCCGGCGTCTCCTCCCCCAGCACAGAGCTCTGTGCCCTCCTGCCCTCCCCTCTCCCAGGCGTCCCTGGTGCTGTCAAACCTACCTCAGGAACACCTCCCCAGTCGCCGGCTTGCTCAGCCCCAGCCCGGCCTAGCTGGGGCCTCTCCTGCTCACCCCACCCCAAGACACCATCTTGGGGGCCCCTGTGTCAGGCCCCCTGCATGGCTGTCCTGCGCGTCTCCTCCTGCGCCTCCACCGCACGCACCCCCAGGGGGGCCTCACCCCACGCCAATGCCCAGTCCGACGGAGGGCGCACGCTCGCCCAGGATGCTCCCACGGCCTGTGGACGGTGGGTCTCCGGGCCGAGGGTCCAGCTTCCTCGTCCCCATGCCCCAGGTCGTACCAGCCTCACAGGAGGCCGTCTTCCCCCATCCTAGAGCCCCCATCTCTCCCCCTCTCCTGGCACCCCCTGACTCTGTTCACCCCCTCCTGCCCCCTCACCTCTCTACCCACGTTGCTCCGCTCTGCTGCCATCTCCCGGAGACTCTCACGCAAAGCCGCGGCCTCTCTCTGATGGGCCGAGATGGCGTCCTCAAACTGGGCCTGCAGGGCCTTCAGCTCTGCAGCCATGGCGCTGACCGTGGCCTAGGGGGAGCAGTAAGCCGCTGAGGCGTCGAGGGGCTGCCTGTGACAGGAGCCTGGCGGTCTGCTCAGGCCGAGGCAGGCGGCCACACGATGTCCTGGGACCAGAAGGGCAGCTCGCTCGGGCCACACGAGGCGGGTGGGGGTGAGAGCCGGCCTGGGGCTCTAGGAGAGGGTTCTCGTGCTGACCACAGCTAATGCCACCATGCCAGGTCCCAAGGAGACATGTGAAGGGTGGGGGCAGAGGCCCCAGAGGGGAGCTGTCTGTGTGTGGGGGGGGCTGACTTTGTGCCCCTGTCCCCCTTTGCCTTTCCTCTGGGGTCCCCAGGCTGCCAGGCCAGGGCAGGGTTCTCAAGCATTGACCCCTTTCCTGCCTAAGCCATTGCTGTTGGGTCCACTCTGCTGAGTAGTGAGGGGCCAAGAATAGCCATTTGGCAAACAAGCAGAGGCCGTACCCTCAAGTGACACTGGACCTGGGCTCCTGCAGCTGGGCAGAGGGCTGGCACTCACACTCAGGAGCTTGGGGCTAAGCCTCTGTCCTCAAGGGCTTGCTGGGCTTGGGAGGAGCACCCCGTGTCCTGTGGCCCATGGCCTGGGGCGTCTGGGGCCCCTCCCACAGAAGGTGCCTCCGGGGGGCCCCCCCGCCTATCGGTGTAGGGCGAGACCCCAGCTCAGAAGACACCGCAGTGGCGGGGGAAGGGGACAGCTGCGTCTGAGGAACAGCCCTGTCCCCAGGTCCAGGTGACCACAGGAGCCCCTCAGTCAGCCTGGCCCTCAGCTTCCAGAACTTTCAGATAGGCAGCTGGGAGTAGGGGCTGCCCAGGGTCCCTGCCAGCTCTACAGTGTCTGCGTCCCCTGCAGGGACTGCGCGGCCACACTCAGGTGGCTCGGACATCCATCAGGACTCAGCTCGGCCCAAAGCTGCTTTCCTGTGGCGGCAGCACCCCAGGCACTCTCTCCAGCGGTCTCCAGTGGATGGGTCCTTGGAGGGCAGGGGTCCGGCGGTGCTCCCACCGCCTCCCAAAGGGGCCTTGCTCACCCTGGGGCCGGCCCCGCCTCCCTGCCAGGACACAGGGTGGTCTGAGCATTTCCTTGGCAGGCTTAGTGCTCCCAGGGGGCCCAGGAGCATGCGCTGCCCCCTGTACGTGGTCTCTGGGAGACAGGCCCTGCTCCCGCCACAGGATCTGCAGGCTGTTCCCAGGGCACCTGTGGGCTGGGGCTCTCAGGCCCTGCTCCTGCTCCGGGTGACCGACATCCTCTGTCCCCAGCCTGCTGTCACCTCTCCGCTGACAGGCGTCGCCTTGGACACCAGGTCTACTGTGACCCCAGCCAGGGAGGCTCTGTGCTGCTGCGGTGGGTGCTCAGTGTGGCCGGGCTGGGCCGCCCCCATGAGAATCGTGGGCTGCAGGGTCAGGCGGGGCCCCTCCCCTGGCCGGGGAGGCTTACTCTTATGTCAGCCACACGGCGTTCCTTGGCTGGCGTTTCTCCCCTTCCGCCCCTCTCAGTAGGTTGAAATTTCCATTTTCTGAGCTGAGGTGGCCAAAAACCCTTTAATGAGCTCCCTGAAAAGCCCACTGACTGGCAGGCCACCCAGCCCAGGGGGAGATGCAGCCAGTGCCAGGGGAGGCCCCCTGAGCAGACCCCTGAAAACCTGGGGCTTTCCTGGTCCCCTGCTGCTGGGGTGGGGGTGCTGAGGGAGCAGCTAGGGGGTGGTGTTGGAGGAAGGAAGACACAACCCTATGGGCCCCCCACACACACACCGAGGGGGCACTTCGGCAAGGGGCTCTCGAGCAAGGCTTTCCCGGGTGCTAGGAGCTCTCTCAGGCTGCTCCAACTCAGAGTGACTGGGGGCCAGGCTGCCTGTCAGGCAGGAGGGTAGAGAAACGCCCTGGCAGCCAACGCCTCACTGCACCCCCTTTCCCACTGCGTAGAGCCCCTGTGGGGCTGTCCCGCAGGTCAGAGTAAACAGGCGGCCTCCCCAAGCCAGGAGGCCTTCTCAGGCCCCCTGCTGCCCACAAGGATGGCCCGTTCCTGAAGCAAGTTCTGGGCCTGGCCGCAGTTGGCATCCTGTGCACACTCACTGAGGCGTTTGTTCACCACCAGTGGACCCTCTGACCTGTGCCCTTGGGGCTCGGGCACACCAGGGACCAGGGTGAGCATGGGTCTCCTGGGTTAAAAGTGAAATGCGACCAGGGCTGGAGGGACAAAGGCAGCAGCAGAGGAGGCGGTGCTGGCCCAGCCAGGCTGATGTCCCCTCTGTGAGCCATCCCTGGTGGGGGCTGTTTTCTGTCTCTGCTCCGGGCCACCCCCCATGGCAGCCGTCCTGACCCCAGCTGCAAACAGCCGCTCTCTGAGCTCTCTCCTTTGTGTCCTATACCTGGCTCGGGCCACCTCCTCCTGCGAGTGGCCCTTGTCTCCGCATCGCCCACTTCATAAATGGGCCAAGGCCACCCTGCCAGCGATGGCCCCGTGGGGAGGGGGCACAGGGGCCGAGTCGCCGCCCCCACTGCCCAGAATCCCAGTTGCCGCTGCCTGGCCCGCCCTGCCCTGGACGCGGGCTCCTGAGGAGGAGACAGGGGTCCTAGGTGACCCTGGCTGGCTGCGTGCGGCTGCTTCCGTGCACACGTGGGCCTCTGTCCCCTGGCCAAGGGCAGGCGGTTGCCTCCGAGGCCACTCTGCCCATCAGTGGCTGCCTCTCTCCAGGCTCTGTGGGCGGGATCCGTGGGTGTCCTTGCCAGTGAGGGGTGAGGCTTTGCCTCAGATAGGTGCCAGCCTTCCCGTTGTGGGTTTCTCCTTTGGAAGGGACCAGCGAGTTGGCCCCAAGAGGCCTGGTGCACATTTCCACAGTTATCCTCAATGCACAGACAAGGCTGGGGGCCGGCAGGGTGGGGGTCGCAGGCCTGGGCTCGGTGTCTGCTGCTGGCGCAGGTGCAGCCCAGGCGTTTCCCTCTCTGGCCTCGGCCCCACCCAAGGCCTGGTGGAGTCCTTGCTGCCCTTGTTGGGGCCAGGACGGCTCCCTCAGCACCCCTACCCGCTTTGGCTTGCTCAGCCTTTTTTTCCCATCGAGACAGTGTCCCCTCCCAGCAGAAGACCTGGAGACACCCAAGGGAAACTGAGGCTCGGGGGGCCGGGGTGGAGAGGGATGTGTCCCTGGGACCCGGTGGGAAGAGGTGTATGTGGGGGTCTGGCAGCACCTGCTGGCAGTGCCAGGTGCCGAGCCAGGTGCCGGGTCTGAGGCTGACAGGGGCACGTGCCTCACCTCTGCCTGCTCCTGCCGGCCGTGCGCCTCCTGCCGCAGCTGCTCCAGCTCCCGCGTGGCCCTGGAGAGCTCCTCGTGCCGCAGGCTCCTTTCTGCTTCTTTCAGAGACAGGGCCTGGCGTGACAGCGGAGTGCTGGGTGCTGAAGCCCCCGGCGGGACACAGTGTGCTCCTGGCTCCACGTCCCTGCTCTGGGACGGGGCAGCACCCCAGAGCACCACCAAGGGAGGTGGGTGGGGCCCTGTAGCCCCACCCAACATGGTCCGGCCTCTGTGCCTGTGCTCAGGCAGCTGCCCCACTGGGTGTCTTACACCTTCCCCACTGTACACCTGTCCAATACCCGCTCCTTCCCAGCACAGACCAGGGGCTTCACAGACCATCTCCTTCCCGGAGCCCCCCGCCCGCTCCAGGCAACGCTTCCAACGGAGCACAGAGTGGGAACCACAGATGGTCCTGAACCATTGCAAACGCCCCACGCCACTAAGGGTGAAGGGTGCATGTGAGCACCCAGACACCCGTTTCACCTGCCAGCCCCGAGGGCTTTGGGAGGTGGAAGGACGTTGGCAATGACCGTTGAAGTCACAGGTGTGCGCACTACCGACACCCAGGGTCCCGGGGAAGGCAGCCCACGTGTGTGCATGTCCACACGCGGGACGACCTGCTCGGGTCATCGATTAGTGTTCATAATGTTGTTTATGAAGCAAGAAAGCTGGAAACGACCCAGATGTCCACTGATGGGGCCAGGAAAACAATGGGGATTTAAGCACCTGAGGACTTGACGCAGCTGTGAAAGAGTAAAAAAGCCCTGAACACACAGATGGGGAAAGACCTCTGTGATCTTGTCAATCCTGAGAAAAAGAAGGCTGGGAACCAGGCATGTACTTTTCAGACTTTTTGTGTTATGAAGGCGGAATAACAATATATATTTGTTTGCTCTTCTATACACAGCAATCTCGGGAGGATGTTTCATAATAAAGAACTGGACTTTTTAGTGCTGGGTCCTGGGAGGAGCCTCTAAGCCCCTGGAATTCCCCAAGTGAGCAGTGTCTTTGTTGTTCCTGGGCCCCTGGAACCACACCTGAGTTTACTCTATGAGGCGACTCATGGCTGCCTGACATAGTTTGGGGGACGGAGCGGGGGCGGGTGGCCATGCCCGACAAACCACGTGATGAGAGCGCTGGGGCTGTGGGCCACTGACATCTCCCAGCCTCAGGGAGGAGGTGAGGACACAGTGCCATCACGTGGCCAGTGACTCCCTCAGTCACACCCATGTGAGCAACCCCAGGAGAATCCTGGAGCTCACGAGTGGGGAGTGCACTGATGTGCAGAGGCCGAGTGCCCTGACTCCAGGGAGAGAGACCTTGTTCCATGTGTCTCTTCACTGGGCTGGTCTTGACTTGTGTCCTTTCTAATAAAACTGTCATCGTAAGTGTAGCACTTTCTTGAGTTCTGTGAGTCCTAGCTCCTGGGTTCTGGTAAACTGTTGAAGCTGAGGGTTCTTCAGAGAACTTCGTGCCATCTCCAGACATCCTGTGAATACCCTTCCCTCTCTACCTGACAGCCTCCTGTTCCCCGCTTAATGTCCCTCCTCCCTTTCAGGGAGCAGAATAGTGGAAGAGCTAAGAGCACAGACCACAGGTTGTCCAGTAGGTGTGCTGTGCAACCCTGGGCAAGGCGGTCACCATCTCTGAACCTTCTCTTGTGAGTAAAATGGGGCTAATAAGAGCAGGTACCTCAGAATGCTTTGAGAATCAAACCGGAAATGCAGGGAGTCTGACAACAAACCTTGGTTCCTCCTGCTACTGCAATTCCTCCCCTACGAGCTGTAATTTGTACCAACATCTGAGAGCTCTATCACACTGTGTCATGACACATGTGAATGCATTTACTTGTCTGTCCCATTCAGGGAACAGCGACTGCCACACAGTGTCACAGTGTACTAGAAGGTCTGGACTTGGAGGGTAGCTCTTATATGCCTGGTGTCTGGACCACGACAGCCTGTAGGTTGGTTAGGTGAGTGGTCAATGCCTGGATACACTGATGGATGACTGGCTTGCTGACCAGGTGGGTGGATGGGTAGTCAGACACCTGGATGAATGGTAGATGTGAATGGACAGCTGAGAGTGTGGACAGAGGGAAGGCTGCATAAAGGAATGGACAGATGGATGGTCAGATGAGTGGATGGACAGATGGATGGTCAGATAAGTGGATGGACAGATGGATGGTAAGATGACTGGATGAATAGACATGTGGATGGGTGGTTGGGTGCATGGATAGTTGGAAGAAGTTTAAGCAAACTGACGTGTAGATTGATGGTCAGATGTGTGCATAGACAATTGAGTATGTGGACAAATGACTCCGTATGTAGGTAGACAGCTGGGTGTGTGGATAGAAGAATGGGTATTCAAGTGAATGAATGGATGATGGACAACTGAATGAGTAAACAGTCAAGTACATGGATGGATGGACGGATGAACAGATAGATGCATGAACAGACGGACGGATGGACGGATGGATGGATGAATGGATGGGTGGGGGTAGGTGGGTAAATGTAGGACTGCTGTGGAAGACCAATGCACAAGGGTAGTGCCCTAAAGCTGCCCCGCCTGACCCTTTTGCTGGGTCAGAGAGGGCACGGCGAGGTGCATGTGAGGACCCCCCACCGGCCCCCCTACCTGGTGCAATTCATGCTCCAGTTGGAGGCGGCTCTCATCCTGCTCACGCTTCAGGCTCTGAATTTCCTCCCTCAGAGCCTCCCTCTCGGCTGCACTTTTCGCCACCAGCTCCTTCTCCTCTGTCAGAGACAGGCTCAGGGTCTCCTGGGCCAAGGCAAGGGGACAGGCTGTGAGGACATGTGAGACTAGCACGTGCCTACGAGCCTGAGTGAGACCTAGCTCATGGGACGCCAGGGCAGGACAGGTCCCCAGGAACTGTCTAGTCTAGCTGCTGCATGTCCCTTGTCTTACACACAGTGACACTGAAGCAAGCCCTGCCTCCGCCATCCTACATTTAACTAGCAGTTCACAGAGCTTTCCTGAGCCTCCACAGTGCACCAAGCACCAGGACACATATGTGTGAAGATACGTCAGGCGAGGCACCCAGGAGCCTGTGACCGGTGGGATGGCTCCAGTGGGTGACGAAGCTGCCTCCAGCTGTGACCCTGTCTGCAGAAGAGAAGGCCTGGCCCACACAAGCTCAGGCCCCGTGACCCCAACTGCCCACCTGAACTCTGCCCCAGCCTCAGTGTGGCCTGGGCACCTCTGCCTCCTGGCTGGTCTCCTAGGACCCCTCCCCCCAAGGGCCTGCTGTTCTTTAGGACACGGTGGGCTCCTGGGAGGGACCAAGCAGCAGGTGTCCCCAGGAAAGCAGACCTTCTCCCCCTGGAGCCGTGCCAGGTCCTTGCGGTGGGCCAGTGCCTGGCTCTCCAGGGCCAGCTGTGCGTCCCTCTCCTGCTGCGCCACCTGCCACTGGAGCCGCCCCAAGTCCCACTGCAGCTTCGTCTCCTGGACCTCCCAGGTGCTCTGCAGCCACTCCATGTCCACTGGGAAGTGACAGGTGCGTCAGGGATTGGCTGTAAGGCCCCCACCACGGAGCCCGCTGTGGCCCTCGTGCACTCCCTGTGGAGTGATGGCTGCACGGAGCGACCACAACCTCATCCAAGGAGGACGCCCCAGCTGGCAGGGACAGAGCCCCATTGTGGCATGTGTGCTGAACCCCCACCCAGCGCTGGCTATGGCCAGGCCCAGGGGCTGCGGATGGGTGGGCTGGGCAGGGGCTGGGAGCAGGGGCCACCACACTGGCCCTGCGGCCACAGCCCATCTCCGAGCCTTGGGCAAGGGCTGGGAGCAGGCCACGCAAGGGCCCACCCCTCACGGAAAGTGATGGCAGGGCCCATTTAGGCCCATGCTCGTGCCCCTCCTGGGGGACTGCGCTCCATTGATGGGGCCCTTCTGGACACTGTGGGGCGGGAAGGGCGGAGGGAGCTGCTGCAAGCACCTTGCAGGGCCTGCCGAGCGAGCCGGGTGCTCTGGGCCTCTCCCGCTAGCTGTTCCCGCTGCGCCTGCAGCTGCTCTGCCAGCTGCTGGGCCTCAAACAGGCTTCTCTCCAGTGAGTCCCGCTCGGCCCTGCAGAGATGCATCGGACAGCGGCGAGTCACCCCGACGATCCTGCCGACAGGGGACGAGGGACAGCCAGGCCAGTCTGCTAGATGGCGGAACAGTGCCCGCAGGACCGGCTGGCAAATCAGAGGGTAACAGGACATCTCATTTGTTTTAAATCTCAAAGTACAAATCGGACTCTACACACACACACACACACACACACAAAACGTTTCTGATGGATTAAAAGCTAAATGCAACAAATAACAACTAAACAACTTGGAACTATAAAAATGGTAGAAAAAATACAGAAGGGTGTTTTATAACCTTCTTATGCAAGACCCAAAAGCCAGAAGACAAAGATAAAGAGGCTAACAGATCTGAATACAAGTAAACAGAGGGAGGGGGAGCCTGTGCACATAAAAGTTTTCACAAGCCAACTTAAAAGACATGGGACAGACTTGGAGAAAAAGACCTGCACTCAACATATTAATACAAAGGGTCAGTGTCCGGCATAGGCAGAGGCTCCACCAGTCAATGACAGAAAGTCAGCTGATCTGACAGAAGCAGGAGAAAAAACGACTGTTAGTCACAAAGTACCCCACAAATGGTGAATAAACATACAACACTTGCACAACCTTGCTAGTTGAGGAGATTCAATCACAGCCACGAGGCATTATTGATCATGCATTAGATCACCAAAAGGTTACAACACTGGTAACATGCAGTGTTTGTTGGTAAGGGTGTAAGGGCCATTTCATTGGGGGGTTGGGGGCGGCTTTCAAAACGTAAAGTGTGCCTGTCTTTTTTTTTTAAGATTTTTATTGGGGAATTGGGGGAGGGGAACAGCATTGGAGAATCGGGGAAGGGGAACAGACAAGTTGTTGTCCTTTTGTTCTTCAGTCTAGTTGTGGAGGAAGTGTGCCTGCCTGTCTTTGAGCCCACAGTTCCACTTCTGGGTGTGAGCTTTTTGGAAATACATGTGAACGTGTGCAAGGACACTCACTGTGGCTTTTTCTAGGGTGTGAAGTGGACTTGGTTTCAATGCTGATGGACGGCAGGATGCTTTACAAATTACAGTGCATTCGTTGGTTGTAACGAGGATGAGGAAACTCTTTCCTATTCTGTTGTCACAGAGAGGGCTGCTCGGAAAGGCAGCAGCCGAACCGCACACGGCATGACTCCGTGACTACAGAAGCTGCCTGTCTGTACACAGGATGGGAGTGCTCAGAAAACACCCAGAATGGAGCACAGCAGCTGGCAGCAGCACCCATTTCCGGAGACGGTGATGAAGCGCTTGAGGTTCTGACAGCCAGTCCGTCAGCCATCAACCGGCCGGTGAGCACATGTTAATTGTTGCTATGCCCTGCTGTGCTGGGTGACAGGCGGTGAGAAAAACAACCAACCAAACAACACAACAGGCATACCACGAACACCCACAGGAACACACCAACAGCTAATGCACAGCCCCCCTAGTCAGTAGGTGGGGAGGCCGTGGGCCCTGGGGGTCGTGCCCAGTCTTGCTCAGCCCCTGCACCACTGCCACCTTCGTTGGGAGTTGGGCATGTGGACACCTCCCGGGGCTCTCCCATGTCTGCAGGGCCAGAAACGTCACTTCTCTGATATCCTGGTCCCCCTTCCTGTCCCTAGCCTCGTCAGCACCCCACTCCCTGTGTCAGCGCTCCCTCTGCCTGGACTGCTCTTCCCAGCTCTGCTTGTGGAAAGCCCTCCTCCAGGGGCACCTGGAGCCCTCCCCCTCCCAGGTGCCCACTGGGGCTTCGCAGACGTGGCTTCTGCTTCTCAGAGTCTGTACCCAGAGGCCGGGGACCCCGAGGGCGTGTCCCGTCTCTCTCTCCACAGGAGCCAAGGACATGTCAGCCTCCTGGGCAGAGGCCCGGCACCCCAGCAATGGGACCCCAGTCCACCTTGCTGGCTGAAGCTCGGCCTTGTTAGGGCCTAGGGCGGACGGCAAACCTGGACCCCCAACATCAAGCCGACCGTGGGAATTTTCGTCAGGAGATTGAGGAGCTGGAGCGGGACCTCTCACAGCTCGTGGTCGTCAGCGTGACCTGGGAGCTCACCGAAACTGCGGTGGCCAGACCCTCGGGCCCACCGAGCCAGCCAGGTGAACACACACCGTGTGTGCCAGGCAGACGTAGTCTCAGGACACATCCTGTCACAGAAGCTCAGACTGGTCATCATGAAATGCTGCCTAGCGGGTATGTGACTCTGCCTGGAGGCTGCAGGGCTGCTGTGCACAGAGGCCCTGGGCCTAGCGGTCAGGGCCGAGTTGGGGCAGGACCCGGGTCCTGAAGCATCTGACCAGGGCCTGTGATCCAGGCAGTAAATGCTGGCAGGTGGAAAGGGACCTCTAACCTCTGCTCTCCCGAGCACCCGTGGGGCCTTGGAGGCAGCCGTGGGAGGGTCCTGGAGGCCCTCTGTTCCTGCCAACCCACAGCGGCCTGCGTCAGGCTTTCTGTTCTGATTTCTGCGCAAGCTTTCAAGCTTTCATTTGGAGAAGTTTGAAGTTTGTTCCGCAAAGACGACATGAAATGCCAAGGTTTCTCCTGACCCCCCAATTCTGAAATCCCAGGAGGAAATGTTTTCAACAAAAATCCTTAGATGTTCCTGAGAATGGTCCTGAGGTCCAGAAAGCCATCAGCTTTTGGATTTCCATGGAGGTCATGGGACCAGCTCAGCTCACCAGGCAACAGCCTACAGGGTACCCCCTGGTATTGCCCAAAGTGCCCACTCCGTGACTTCCGGAAGTGGCCTCCATGGTCTTTGGTGCTCCATGTCCCTGCTCTCCACTTCGTGGTTCCCTGGGGCTGACACCACCCCCAACTCCAGGGATGTGCATATGGCCCCCAGCCTGCCAATCTCAGCCCTGAGACTCCCAGGATTGGCTCAGGGATGGCCAATGGCAGCAGCTCTTGGGCCTCGTGTAGAGAAGGGCACTCTGGTCCGATAGAGAGGGAAACCTGGAGTGGCCACGGGCCCTCTTGCCACCTCTCAGCCTGCGCCTGCCTGAGAACAAAACCTCCTCAGGGTCGAGCAGCACTGAGGGGTGTGAGGCCGGATCCTGAGGACACTGTGGGAGCACCTGGGTCCAGCCTTGCCTGAAGCCACGGGGACCNAATGGCAGCAGCTCTTGGGCCTCGTGTAGAGAAGGGCACTCTGGTCCGATAGAGAGGGAAACCTGGAGTGGCCACGGGCCCTCTTGCCACCTCTCAGCCTGCGCCTACCTGAGAACAAAACCTCCTCAGGGTCGAGCAGCACTGAGGGGTGTGAGGCCGGATCCTGAGGACACTGTGGGAGCACCTGGGTCCAGCCTTGCCTGAAGCCACGGGGACCCTGAACGTCACAGATCCTTGAGCAAGACATCTCATGTCTTCCTTCTGCTGCCTGCCCTCTGGTCAGTGCAGCCGCCTCTCAGGACGGCCCTCCCAGGGCTCTCACTGCATTCACCTCTTCAGGGTACTCACCACACCCTCAGGCACTGTGTGGGCTCCTCTGTCCCAGCCTCTCACCCAGGAGACACACTTGCCTGCGCTGCAGTTGCTGAGTGAGTACCTGCCCCCTGCTGCACTGCAGACTCTGAGGGCGAGGCCATCAGACACACTCTGCCCATAGGCCCCGGGTACCTGAGATCGGCTGCCTCCTCAGCTATGAGCTGGCCCTGCCTCTCCAGGGCCTCTTGCTTGGCCAGCAGTTGGGCCCGCTCCTTAGACAAAGCCTCCTTGTCCTGCAGGGCCCTCTGGAGAGTGTCCATCTGGGCCTCCTGGGCCTCCAGGCTCTGGGCCAGGTGCTCCTCCAGGGCCTGCGTCTTGCATGTGACCTAGAGGAGGTGGAGAGGAAAGTCCAGCAGAGAAAGCGAGAGTGTGGGGTTGAGGGGACCTCCTGAGGGAACAGGACTTGAGAAGAGGCGAGTTCATGCAGAATGGCATGGAGGCGAAGGTGGAGGCGGAGGGTGGAGATGGCACACTGGACCTCAGGAGCACACAGGTGTGTTTTCCCAGTAGAGGGGACCTCCTCTCCTGTGACCATGAGGGAGGAGTTACTGAGCTGAGCACTCCCAGCTGCCAATCTAAATGGTAACCTTGGTTGAGCCGCAAATGTCTGGGGGGCAGGAAACATTGCATGGCAATAGCGATAGAAGGGGACAGACAACCAGGTTATTGCA